GGTGGCCCAGTAGTTTTGTTTTGATAAGACTAATTATGTGTGTTTTGTACTATTTTACTTTTGTCTGCTGTTGAAGTTTGTGCTTTTAAGTTTTTAGGATTTTTTAAGTTTCTTATAATTAGTTTTATCTTTTCCTTTCCCAATTTACAGGCATTTTTTGGATGAGTAAATCTTATTTTACTTCTTTATACATGAAAATTTGCGAGCATATTTCAGTACTAATTTTGTTCATCTACACATTATCACGTTTTAAAGTAGTGTGTGCACTAATTCATTTGTATGTATACTTATGTCTACGTTTGATTAGTCTATTATGCGATAATTTACCGGTGTCATTTGAGCCACTTCAAAACGGCTTCTATATACATGTAAAGCCTAGATGCTTTTCTGTTTTGCTTGGGGTTGAGGTAATTTGGTTCACTTTACACAATGATATTTCATCAAATCTAGGGTCTTATTAGCTCAAATTTCTTTTTAGCGTGTCGCTCCTTTATATGCGAAGACTTTCAGCAATAAGTTACCTATTGAGAGTTTTTATCTATCTTATTGTGTTAGACTTTTAACGATTCGATGTCCCATATGACCTTGTTGTCTGAGGTCAATTTCTTCTATTTTGAGTGTTCATATATATTAAAGTTTATCTTCAAAAGTCTGCTGGAATCAGCAAAAGCCACTACCTTTCTATCGTGTTGCTCTTGATTTTTGTCTGACGAGCCTGGCTTAGTTGCAGCCCATATTTTATTTTAAAAAGATGACTTTATTCTTAGGTTTGTTGTATTGAAGCCTTAAGGCTCCATACTTTTTCATTTTTTTGTTATTCGAGTGAAAATTGAGTTGCTTTGAGTATTCTGAAGAATTTTCAATGGTTTTCAGAACTGTCTAAAGTTAACAATATTTTGATATCATAGACTACTCTTATATTTCCTGCTTAATTATCTTTTCTGTTTGGCTTTCCGGCTTAAAATATTAGAAATTTGCTAATTTGCTCATTGTGTTTATGGGTTCTCTTCGAAAGAAACGTTAATACAATAGATTAAATATTCATTTGATGTAGTACCATAAATGGCCATTAAGAGTCCATATCTGACTAGCAGGTTATAACAAGAAGCACTTCCTTTCTTCGTGGGCTACCAGAGTTATCCGATTCCTTCATGCATTGGGGCGCTAAATTATACATTCGAGATGGTTGGCCGACTACTTAAGTCTCAGAACGTAACCTTGGCATCACTTAACATTGCTTAACCTATGAGTTACTTATTAATAAAGCCTTAATTCATATTTCTCCACTGAAGTCCCCCTTTGTTCTTGTTATTACTTTTTTTAGTTTAAACGGAAACTCTTTATTATGCTAAGATTTCTACACTTATTTTGCTCGCGTCATATCAAAAAAATATTAGACATTCGGACTTTCTTATTTGAAAGTGGATCATTCGTTCCCTGCTCCTCTGAAGCTCATAAAGGGAGTTCCTGATCGCTTAAAGATATTGTAACTAGTTCGTTTACGTTTATTTAAGACCTAATAGTTGAATTTTCATGCGAGGAAACGAGTTGGCCCCACGATGCCATTCTTTTACAAATATCATTGCATCCCAAAAGGTTTGCTAATACATGATGGACTACAGCTTTGGTCTTGCTTGCTATGCCACGAAGCCCAACGTGTCTGTGGTTCACACAGCAACTTTGATTCAGTTGAAGTCCTGAAGTGTGGTGTGGTAACAACTTATCACCACTATAAACATGATTCGATTTGGAATCCTGTCGCATATGCTGATTAGACCCATATGAGATAAAACTTGTAGTCCACTCTAGACTAGGAAACTTTATGATAGGCGAGACCAAGTGAAATTCGACTCATATTATCGGAAAATCTAACTATCAGCCCTTCGTCACCTTGCGCGACCTAGGGTAACTAAGTTCCTATTTAAGCGAAAGCAAGTCAAACTATGTGCCATGAATGAAGCTTATACGGCACAAATGCACCACACACTTATTAACAAAGTTTATTTGTACGCAATCAAATATTATTGGACCAATTGAGTCACAATATTTCAATAAGATCCAGAGCCATAGGTATGATGATTAAATATGTGAACCCTGGAAATGTCCACTTTTACTTAGTATGGTAACTACTTTCTTCGCTAGCCGAATGAGTGAGTGCCACTTTATTGCATTTGTTCAGAATAGATAGTTTATGTTGAGTCGGTACGATGCGGCCTACGCTATTCTAGCAGGTGATTTTTTTTGAAAAGGCTGTGTTGTAGGATGTTTGGCCAAGAGGCGTTTCATTAGTGAGACATCACAAATTTTGTAATGGATAAAGGAACAAAGTTTGTAAGGTCTCATCTTTTGTAAATTTCATGCGATTGTGAAGTAATGCAACTTTTCTGTCTGTTTCCCTAGGTTTAAGGTTTGCTATTCGGTTTCCACTTCTCTATCTGTGGCGCTGGTGGCAGGCAATCTATTTTTTCCTTTGAATTGCGATTTTGAGTTAAATTGGCTTATTTTTTTACTCCAAAACTGGAAATTTCGGAAAATCCAACTTTATTTAATTAATATTGGGTTGAATTATCTTTTTATATACAATGTCGGGTGATCAATTCGCTTTATGAGATTGCGTTTCCCATTTTCTATTATATTCTATCCAGGATTATTTTAGAATGGCGCCTGTTTTCATTTTCTTGAAGCTTTCAGCCAAGAATGACGTTATTCGCACTTTTTGACTGTAGTAAATTTACGTGAGCAAAGATTATTTTAATAAAATAATATTATTCAACATGGCAGCCTAATGCAAAAACCTTATTTATCGAGGTACTAATATACCTAAGAACTGAGTTAGGGTAATGAACGAATGCCCTCGGATTAACTTATTCTGCGGTTTAATGGAACTAAAGTTCCGATAGGTATCAGTATCTTGAAAACGGGTTTATTGTTGAAATCGAACTTGCTTCAAAATATGATTTATGTCAATTGCGTATTACTTAATCCTTTTAATCAAATCCAGCAGCTAACAACCGATACTCTTAACATTTGTCTTCATTTTCCAAAGGTTAATCAGCTTGAGTAGAACAGCTACCCAATTATTTTAAATACCATTTAGTTCTTAATCGATGCGATGGGTGGATTTCACTTAAAATTTTGAATTTAATGTTTATTGCACAATTTTGATTGTTGATTAGCTTCAGAATCATAAGAATTTATAGAATCTATATAAATTGCTTTGGCAAGGCCACCTGATCGAGATTTGTTATACCCTTTTTTCGAATCATTTAAGTTTACGATGGTTCAACTTGTTTATATAAACATTCCATAAACTGATAAGATACTTTTTACATTCGAAAGGAGTTTATTATTTAAATATAAGCATTGCTATATTATATCTACATTAAATCACTCGATTCTATTGTTTGTCAATATCGATAGCCCTCTAATTTAACCGTCCTTTAAACAAGCATATATTTGCTCAAAACCAGAGAAGATTTATGCCAATTTCGCCATCCAACTATTTATTTGGCTAAAGCAAATTTGAGAGGGCCGTATTTGTTATGACTGTGTGAAATGCTATTCCTGTATCTTCCATTAACCAGAATACTTTTCGACGATCAAACAGTGATAGATTCCGACTTTTTTTGTTTTTATCTTTGGCCTTATTTAAGTTTAGCCTTCATTTGTATAGTGGGGACAACATCTGTTGTCATTCTCTTTCTTAAAATCTTTATCTTATCATCTCAGAATAATTTTAACATATGATGGGAACAGCTACTGATTTAACATATGTGATAGATACTGAGTTTGTACATATCTCACTAGGTCGTACTGGTGTTATTGATAGTGAAGTTCCTTAGGTTTAATCTATCTTATGCTCAGATAATTGTAATTGATGTCTGGAGATGAAAAGGCTAATGCATAGATGATAAAAATAAGGCTGGTAGGATTTAGAAAATGCTTATTGCTCACATTTAACATGAGAAACCAATTAGGTTGTAAAGGTGGCACCATCTCTCATTTATGTTGATTATCGATGCATTAGAAGTATGTCTTGTTTGATTGGTTGTTTTTTCATTTGATTCTTTTGCCAAGTATCAAAAATCGATCTTTCAGTCGACCCTACTCATGCGAACAAAACTATTTCTCGCGCCAAATCTCTTGATTAGCACAGTACTCTTGTTTCAATCTAGTTAGCAATGAAAGGCGATAGTAACGATCCACGGACTGCCACATGTTATGTCCCATCTGGATTTTTATATTTTTGATTCGTATTAACCATCCGCTGCTACCTCACTTTATTTTATTGATTGAGTTGTCCATTGATACCAAGTCAGGTTCGCAATATTCATATCATTGGGTTGAAATATGCACATCACTGGAAAATTGTTTGGTCTCATGCCTCTATGATTTCAACTTGAGCCATTGGTACTTATGTATGACATTATTTATTTAGATATTTGACACTCGGATGGAATTTCGGCCAAATGTCGACCGATACGGTTGACATCTCTATTATTTTAGCTTTGTACGTTATAAGCTATACAAAATATAATATTGGGATCGTTGCTATTTTATTTTCATTTTTAATTGAATTTAACTTGATTAAACAAACATTGATTTTAAATGACTCTCCGGAAGATTTTAAATTAACGTGTTTTTAACTTATCACCGCTAAGGAGCAAAACATCAAAGTAGGAACGAAACCTAGTTTATTTCGATTGACATCTAAAAGAGGCTTTAGTAACCTATTCCTATACTTTTCCTATTAATTGTTTAGTTTTGCTACATTCCATACTTAGCCATGGCTCAACATCCTTGTGCACAGAGATCACGTGAGTGCATGACTGATCTTCACTCTATTTCGCGTCGACCAATCAAAGCTTGGCACCGTATCGTCAAAAAGAAGTTGACTTGGAAACTTACGCAAGGGTATATCAAGTAGCTAACATCCTGTTTAGATTGTTCACGTTTTCTTCCTTCCCTTTCTTTCCTCCGCAGTGATCCGCTGAGTTCAGACTTTTCTATTTCGTGCCGCCTTTCACTGATTGTCTTTCTACTGTCAAGCCCCCATAGTATATTCAGCCGTTTCTAAATAGGACACTTAGTAATACTAATTTTCCTTTTCTTCATTCGTTTTGGGGTCTCCAACTTTGGAGTTGTAGAGCTCAAGCGTTTTATATTTTAGAGGCAGTCAGCGCCCTCTTCGGTAATAATAAGCACAACTATCTGTGATTACGCATTAGACTCTGATTCTGCTGTTCCGGCCACAAGGAACTTCTATTATCCCGTCGAAATGAATATTTATAATTTTGCTTGCTACTCTGGTTTCATTAACTACGGGGTCTAGTAAGGAGCTAGCTATCTAGATGGCGATATGCATTCCAAAATCATAACTGAGCGGGAATAGAGAATCTCACCAAAGCGCTGTCATATTAAGGGAACTGTAATCTAGAGTTTGGAATCATCTGCAAGCCTGTATATTTCCTGTAGGCTCATTAAATTTTCTTACGGCCTTATATTCATTTTTATCGCCCCCTCCCACATCCTGAGGATTTCTTATATCCAAACGATCATTTATTTCAAATTAACTAGTCCAAGTGAGAATAAAAATATCCAGTTTTAATCAAAATAATTGGTGTTCAACCTTAAATTAGTCTCTATTTCATATAGCAAACTCCATTTGGGCGAGAGAGTTTAATAAAAATTGAGTTGAAAGCTTCTCAATCCAAAATAGATAAGCTGGGTGATTAGCCCCGCTTTATGTCTGTTTAAAACGTTAGGTCTCTCTATTTTGCTTTATGTGTTCACAGTGGCTACTAAGATATGTTATAGGCAGTAAAAACAATTGATATAGATTTTCCATGCTATTTTCTTTTTAATTACACTTCAGTTTTTGATTCTGTCCATATAGGTGGCCGATTTCGGTCTCTGTAGAGAGGCAAACTCACATGAGGTTTCGGGAAAAGTTGCAATCAAATGGACTGCTCCAGAAGCTGTGAGACACAATCAATTTACTCCAGCCTCTGATATGTGGTCATTTGGAGTCCTTCTTTGGGAAATCTATTCTTTTGGTCGCCTTCCATACCTCGGAATCTCAGTGAACGATGTCCTTGCCGAAGTGGAATCTGGCTATCGGCTTCCTCGACCTGACGCCTGCCCTGCAGAGTTGTATACCATCATGCAGCGGGCCTGGCAGGCAGTACCACGTGCCAGACCGCAGTTTTGTGGAGTGCTTGATCAACTACAAGCTATTTGGCGACGACCGTCACCTTTGCAACTTCCATCTGCGCAATTAGTTTCATCGCCCCCAACGACAACGTCTGCCTCACTCTCACCAATACCCAAATCCCCTCCAAACAGTAGTCCCGCACCTCTCAGTGGTAATTTCAACCACCCACTATTTACTTTGTCATCGGGGTCGATACCAATGGAGAAGACTATTCCGCTACCTGCACCACCGAAGACCACCGCGTCACCATTCACTTGTGGCTCTAAATCTTATACAAGGGTGGTATAAGAAGATCCTAATTGACTATAGTTACTTTCTGATACTGTATCGATCAGTCAATATTGTTAGCCGATTTCTTATCTCTCCTATTCATCTGCTATAATCATCCACTCTTTCTCTGATGGCCTATACTCAATCTAGCAAATTTGTTTCTATTTGTGGCCATACGTCTCCGTCAGCCTTATCCTGATCCATTCCGAACTAATTACTATATTTTTAATTTCTCATTCCTTGGATGTTTATATTCATCCATACCCCTAACTGCATTTTTGTCTTAGCTTCACTTGACTCATAGTTGACAGAGTTGAGTGGATTCTTATGCATTTATGCTCTTGTTTTTTTCTTATTTACTGATATAACGGTCCACTTGGGACATTTTTATGTTCATGCACCACTATGCTGCGTAGCGCCTGATCCTCAGAGCGGCGAGCTCCGATCGCCTCGTATACACATATTTAATGCATTCTCTATGATCTCGATCCTATCAGTCATTTAAATAAGATCAAATAAATTTTCCTTATTCTTTCTTCATTTTCTAACTTAATTTTTTCCTATCTTAATCTACATCCTGTTGCTTTTTTAATTTATATTTTTGCTATTCATCTGCGACCATTGCCTTTCCTCCCTCGCATCCATTAAGCTATCATGCTCGAATGGTCTCTTTGTGATAATAGCTTCATCAATTCTATTGGCATTTCATCAGAATGTGCCGCCAATTTTAATGGCCTAGCGCCTCATCTTCACACTATACTCCCTTCAACAAGGTTTTCCTTATTGAATATAAACCAGGGCCTCTTATCAAATCTTTTACATGACTAAACATTACTTGCATGTATACACACACACACACATATATATATATATATATACTTATGACGTGGTGATTACCTATCCTGTCAATACCATGGCATATAAATTCGTAATGTCTGTCATTCTTTAGACACTTGTAAATCGACATTCTGCCAGAAGAAACAGACTTAACGACGAATTTGTGTCATTACTTTTGTTTCAACCTATAAATAAGCAGAAAATAAACCCTCTTACTTTTCTATCCACTCTCATAATGCTCATCTGCTGGTACTTGTGGATGGGCTGTTACCCATTATGTCTGTTTCCCAGGTCACTGTTTTAAATTCAGTTTAGCATCCTGTTTACCCGTTTCTCGTCAAGCCGCTTCCTGATTCGGCGGTCAGTCATTTGTACATTCAAATTGCAGCTACTTATCTTATTACTTCATTTTCCCTGTACGACTATACGAATATTCTTTATTTACCTCCGATTCTACTATAATTTCAAACAATCATCTTAAATCGGTTTTTGGTTTTTATGCCTGACTGGTCACCCTTTTTCAAAATTGCTCGGGCGCACTCCTTATTAATAATACAGACTCATATACGTGCATACGCGCTTTTTGATAGCTCCCTTCATTGGTGCTTGTCCTTCAGCCTTATTTGTAGAATTTAAGGCTGGCTTATTCTCGGTGACCTGTAATTTAATCTGCCGACACTTTCAATGCGGCTCATTCATTTCTATTTTCTGAATTGGTCTGAGCGAATTATCTTGTACGATTGATTTTCTTCTCTCTTACACCATATTTCTGGAGTCCTGTCGGAATTTTAAATGATTTGACACAATTCTCCAGTTGCCCATAGGGCTCATGAAGCTTTCACATTTTCTTTCTCACTTTTTCTGAAGCAGATATTCCAAATCCATATTCACGACTTCTCTGAATTGTCCATTTTACTTTGGAATAACCAGGGACCACATGGACATTGGTAATTATTTGCAATCGTTTGATGTAATTAAAATACTGTGCTAACTTTGAAACTTCTTCATTTTAATGATAGAAAATGAAAGTTTAGTTTCCGCATAAGTTGGGGGTGGTC